CAACGCACGCCTGGAATTCACTTGTACACTCTACAGATGGTGGCCTTCGAGTCAGTCCTCTCAAACGTGCCCTTTGCAAAAATGCGGTTTCTTTCAAATTCACGCTCTTTTAACTGTCTGTCGAAACTTGACACACGTTGCCTGGATATCTGAAAAGCCTAGTTGTCTGCTAACGTGGTGACTCATGTCCCCTTATTCCCTCCAATTTTTCCATTCAATGATTAAACGGCCATGGTCACCCGAAACTGGGTCAATCTCGAGCCACCATCTGATCGTCATGGTGTGACAGGGTGGTGTGGGGACACGGACATGCCCCCTGCTTCACATTTTAACTCGTTGGCAGGTAACTGTGACGCAAACCTGTGGAAACGTGCCTTCCATGACGCCTTTCATAGAATGTCTGCAAATATTGATGGAGTTCCACACGATTTGCTGCTAAATGTCCTTTCGCACATGCGTTTCGCGGGTGTCACAACAAAAGCCTCCTCTAGATGTGTTTTTGTGTGTGTTTATCGATTTCGATCCATTAAAACCCGTGGTTTCTAAACAAATGACTATTAAATTTAGAGCTCCAGGAAATCTATTTTAACTGTGATCGCTCTCAGGTTTGTCAGGATTAACGACGTCGACTGTTTTATGATCAAATGATTGCGTTGCCAGGAAAATCACAAAAACCAAACCGCACCAATTGTTCTTTGTTTAATGACTTCCCGCAAAAGTTGTTTAAATGAACCAAAAAATATTTCCGATTGAACGATTATGCACGCCTGTAGAGACAGTTCATCCAAGCCACTGGGGGATTGGCTTTGTAAATTATCTTGAGTTTTACCCAGGAAAAAGATTTTGAATTACTTTCCCCATTATTCTGGTTGGACTGTTATTCATGCTACATGGACTGTCAGAATCTGAGTTGACCATCCTTCAAACGTACTGATTAATTTTTTACACTGTTAAAATCTTATCTCCCACAGGAATCGGTAAAAATTCTAATTTCACGCACGAAATCTTTCAAAGCACGAAATCGTTAACACTTTGGAGAAAATATTCACTAAAAGGCATCAATGGGGCAGCAGATGGCGCAAGAAAAATGAAGTTACATTTTCAACGAAATGCATGTTTCTTTTATAAACTTACAAAGTGATTCTGTTCTTGGAATTTTCTCCTTTGTAAGCCTCAGTAGTCGTTTGTTCTGCTTTGAAGTTAATCATGATTGATAAGCCGTTGTTTCGAAGGCGTTGCAATGTGTTTCCAAAAAGGAAACCACTTTTTCCTAACAAATATTTCTTCCACCATGCTAAAAGCTTACAAAACGTTCCCATGTACTTCTGAAAAGTTTCTGTGCTTAGTTAATTTATTTGTCCATTTTACCACATTCGATTGAGTACTCTGGATGCACGTGGGGACGTTGGCCAATCAAATACTGACTTCAAGGTCAGGATATTGATTTTTCAAATTTTTGAAAAGCTGTTTCCAACTCATGATGCTTGAAATCGGTCTCTTGCAGGGAATCGATTTTTCGGTCTCTGAGCGTAACCTCATCCGTTTTTCTTGATTTCTTGATGTAATGCTTGTTTGTGAAGGCTTTTATTAAATTAAATTACGTAAAATTAGAACTAAATACGCAGAATTCATTAAATTTCAAACAAATAACGGAATTTGTGTATATGGAACCACCACGGTAGGTCAATCAACCGAAGTTTCCCATGATTCAATGTCATTGTTAAGGGTGGCACTTTTGGCGTCATTTTAGTGAATCAGGACATCGTGTTGGTTGGCAGCATTCATGTGTGAAACGCCACCATATTCACTATGCGGAAAAAATTTTCACATCTTAATGTCTTCCTGCTTCAAGCTTTCACTGACACACATTGCCACACCGCACGATCAGGTCTTCTTTCCAAGCAACTGGATATGGCGAAAGTAATGTCAATTATCATGGCTCTATAGCAGCTGTTGACACTAATAGAATCTTGGGGCAAAGAGACAGCAGGAGGACGACAAGACAAGGTCGAGACAACCGGCTAATCAGCAAAAAAATGTCTTCCGATTTGTCTGTGGTAGTGCATATTATTGTGATTATCCCCCTGATAGACATCCAACGGTGTGTTCTGTGCATTTTAAGTCTGAAACTCCGCATGCAACCTCAATGACGTGCTTTATCGTTTCGTGGAAGAGATCATGGGAGATCAGCCTGAGATCACCCACGTTGCGTTCATCCAATCCAATTTCCAAGCATCTTTGAATAAATTTGCGTTCGTAAATTTAATAAAGACAGATGTTTATATCACACAAACACCTCTGTGTGTGTCGCGGATTTTCAAATTTCAAATCAAGACCGGGAAATTCAAACGGGTCTTCATTTTGCCCGCGCGATTTAAACAAGTCTGAGCGAGGTCTGACTATTGTCGATTGTACTAATGCTAAATTTTTTATATATTCGATGTAGTTATTGGCCGAATGTAGCCACTTGCGATCATAGCCATTTAAACGTTTCGACGTTTGTCATCTTGACTAATTTTTTTCCGAAATTTGAAAAAATGAGCGTTAATGTTCGCCCCGTAGGCCAGATTAATTTGCGTCTGTAAACTCAAAAAAGTAAAATGTTTGAACGTGTCTTGATGCTGCGAACTAATAACTTTTAAATATGTGATTAAATGTTGTCGTTTTGGTTTGTGGAAACTTCCAGAGTGAGTCTTTAATTCACAGAGGTCAAGGTAATCTGGACTCCTTGATATCGACCAATTAAGGGAGACGTGGCTACATAAACTGACGCCTGTTCACCACCCCCAATCCCTCTCGCTAATCCCTAGGTTCCGTACGACGTATCATGTTACAGGAGAGGTTCAGTTTCAGTAATGAGATGACACAACTAGGCAAAGAAACAACGACTTATTTGTCATCTAGACGGCAAACTTAGTCTCGTTGCCCTCCGCTTAAGCACCCACTTGAGCAGAAATGGTTGGATGATGGAGAGTTTCATTGGTTTACTCTGTAGGTGGACTTTGAAGGAGCCATTGGTAATGCCGGGCCAGAAACGTATGACAACTGGCGAGGCGGCCACACCACAACGCCTCACACCTTTTCACCTGGACCCCCGAGAACGCGAAATCAGCACCGGACCCTTCATCGACCTTCGGATGACACCCCAGCTCCACAATCGACGCCTTCGATGTTGGGCTGGGGCTCCCGTGAAGGCGTTGCTCAAATCGGGGTTTGCACCAGACGCCCCCGTGTGGATGCACACGTCTGTCTTGCTCTCCGTCTCTTGTACGTTCACGTTTGCAGGATCTAGTTGCAAAAGTATCGATCGATTTAGTTGATCGATTCTGGGGACGTGACTGATGACCAATTTGACAAGAAGGCACTGCATATTACGGATCTGTGATCGCTCTTGACAACGTGCGATGTATTCGGCGTCGTTGTTTTCAATTATCTCTGCTGACTCGTAATTTAATGACGATGGGAATATCAGCTAGATCAAATTGACGTGAGATCCTCACTGAACCGGGGGCATTGTTAAAAGTGTCCATTGGGCGCTAACCAGATACGGGAAAAATTTGCCTGCCCTAACACCCTCGGAAACAAAGCATGTTAGAATGATTTGATCTGTTGCGTTGGCATTAAGTAGTGGACTTATTCGATGGCTGGTTGTGTGTTTGTGTAACTAACGTCTATTTGAGAATGAGTCTACAGTGGCAGCAGAAATCCACCAATAACAAATGGCACCGCGCCTCCTCAAATCTGATTCGTCAGACAGACCAGGAACTGACGGTATTTCAGTCGCGTCGACTACGGTTCAGCATCTTTGTCTTGTTTTTAAATTGAGGTGTACAACTAACTTGGCACTGAAGATCAAACCAGTAAAAAAAACTGGACGAATTTGAACGTTCGACAATGCATACATTTTATCACCTCTGGGCTAGTTCAGGTAGTGTCTTCACGAGCACTGCTCGCCGATTGGGCAGACTGTAAGTGGCGCTCAAAATGACTAGCAATTAAAACAACGAGTTCAACGCGGTTTTCACTGAAACACAAAACGGGTCGTTTTGAAGACGTACTTCGGATTGTTTTAATCGGTAACGATGTTTCACGAGTAAATCCAACTCATTAGCCGTGTAATTTCAAATAAGCGAATAGAAGATTGACGCAGAAAATTGGTGTTTTTCGTTGTTTCTGTACTTCGAAATAAGCACACGGGCTAATTCTACTTCTATAGAGGACTATTCACTGTCTTATTGGCTCAGAAGGTTGTAGTCGTAGTGATTGTGCGTTGAGTCGAAAGTCATGCAAACTGCCGTGACCCTGGTTATTGACAGTTAAGCTTACACAAGTTAATTTAAATCTGCCACCATGGTGTGATTCTTCAGTGAGCTGTTTCCTTTTGGCCTTTAGTTCAAGGTCGTGTTAGCTGAATTTTTGCATAATTCAATTTGATAGAACAATTTCTTTTTAAATTTGCCGAATTTCCACATTAGCAGTGAGTGAGTTCACCCAAAAAGTAATTTCTTAAAAAAGTTAGATACTTCGTAAATGACGAGAAATTTGATCAAAAGCACGATTTTTGTACAAAATACAATTTCAAATCGCGTCTGTCTAAAGTTATGCCGGAGGACAAGTCTTTTTAGTATGCCGCTCGGTACAGGCTCAACCGATGGCCGAAAAACTTTGGTTCGACGATAATATCTCTTAAAAATTGACCGTCGGTGTTAGGGACACACTTTGAGATCATGATTTTGATAAAATCGCCACTTTTTTTCAAATAATTCGATTTTATAGGACATCCCACCTCATTAAATTGGCGGCCGGAGTTGACAAATTGAAGTGTTGATTGCAATTACTTGTGGTCTAAACGCGAGGATAAAACTTATAGAAGCACAATAGTGCGCCTAGTATTTTGTTTAAATCATGAACATAAAATCGATAAAGTAAACAGAGGGAATTCGGCAGTTTTAAATTTACCAATAAGAACCTTCGCCCTTCATGTTCCAAACGAGGTGAGATTCACGTCATTTATGTCACCTTTTGACATCAAGCGAAATTCATGAGGTGTTAGTTGGCCCTGGTTTGACCCCTAGAAATCAGTCTTTTTTGAAATATCCGCGAGAGTAGTAACTAACGTGATGGTTATCGATGTAAAGCAGATTAATTTGTGGAAACTGGTAAATCCGATTATACGAAAGTCAGAAAATACACTGATAGACATTGCTATTGAACTATGGATATGAAATGTATCGTTGCAACGGTTTGAAATCCCGTCGTTTGCACAACCGAAGTTTTTTTGTTTAAACTAACACGAGTCGCGGCACTTTGACTAAACACAAACCGGTTGTCGGTGATGTCGTTGAAGCCGCGGCAAAAAGTATTTCACGTTCATTAAAACTGCTGTGGTCATCATTTCTGGCCCGTCACCAATGTGTGGCGCTAGATTTAATTAATGGAAGCGCCATTTTTTGTTTTAATCGGAGGACGTTTAAAACACTTGTTATAACGCACTAGAATCTGTCATTAAACACCAGCACTGAAGGAAGAACATTAGCTATGTGGCTAGACGTCAGATTAGCGTGCTGGCCGGGGGTGCTTCAACAGGTGATGCCACTTCTTCGACATGTAGATGGACCGAAACTCCAGGGTCCACCGCACGAAGTCGAAGCCGTGCCGATGGGACAAAGTGTCCAGCTGACGTGCCACGTTGAGGCCAACCCCCCTGCTCTGGTCACGTGGTACCACTACAGGAGTATCCACGTGGTGAACCGTCACACTCTCGCCGCCAACCCCAACATCTCGGGTCTCTTCACGCCGACAGTCATCTCGCATCGACTGATCCAGTCCTTCGTTGACGCCGAATTGAGTGGAAGTGACTTCAAGGTGAGTTTGTGGGTGACCACCACGTGACGCGCTTTGCACACATGCTACACTTTTACTGATCAACAACCGCCACGTACGGAAGTAGTGACCATACCTCTCAATTATCGATCGAAAGCTGCTGTTTTTGGAAGCGGTGACTTCAAGGTGAGTTTGTGGGCTACCGCAATTTGGGACAACTGATCTCCTCTTCTCGATCGAGAGCAGGCGCTTTGTTCTAATGACAACCCTTGGTTAGAGAGTCTAGCTAATTGGGTAGAGGCTTATTCTGAGAGGTAGCATGGGCAAAATCATGTGGGGTTGAGGTGAATATCGATGTAGATTTACAGGTGACCATTGCCAAACACTAAATCGATATCTAGACCTTTGAGAACTAGTTCTAAAGGCTGTGGCGATGCAGGAATATCTCGTGTTTGATCGCAGGATAAAACTGACAAAGGTAATCTGTCTGCATTTGCTTCAAGTTAAGTGGAACGCCGCAAGCAACGATTTAGCGAAAATTAAAATTTTTGGAAACTGGGCCTTAAAAGGTCATCCTGCGGGAGGTCATACGGACCTCTGTCATGATAAAATCGATCAAAGTTTGGAGGCATTCCATGGACGTCGATATGGAAGGCAAGTTTTCAACCTCCCAACCACATTCCACATGAGACTGTGGATGTGTCTGGTTGGTTGGAACGCTGACTTGGGTCACAGTTACCTGCCAACGAGTTAAAATGTGAAACAGGGGGCATGTCCGTGTCCCCACACCACCCTGTCACACCATGACGATCAGATTGTGGCTCGAGATTGACCCAGTTTCGGGTGACCATGGCCGGTTAATCATTGAATGGAAAAATTGGAGGGAATGAAGGGATATGCGTCACCACGTTAGCAGGCATCTAGGTTTTTTGGGTATCCAGGCAACGTGTGTCGCGTTTTTACTGGCAGCTAACAGAGCGTGAATTTGAAAGAAACCGCATGTTTGCAAAGGGCACGTTTGAGAGGACTGACTCGAAGGCCACCATCTGTAGAGTGTACAAGTGAATTCCAGGCGTGCGTTGTTGTTGTTAGTGTTGGTGGTGGTGTAATTGACTGATGACTGAGTCGCAGATGGGTCAAATCGCTAGCCACACCTGAAAATCTGAACATTTGAGAGGTAGGTGAGGTGTGACCTTGTGGCCTAGTTGTCATTGGTGTGTTTGTCGACTGGTTAGTTTAATGTGTCAGACACGTCAGCGGTGGACAACGGGAGTCGCAATCAATGCCTGCATTGTATCCATGTCGCTGCATTGTCGAAGTTCAAACCGACTGCACAGATGTGTCCGTGTCTCCTGACCAGTATTGTTTTCTAGTATGGACGGAGTCATTGGTTTATGTTGATTCGCCATCGAAAACAATGAAATCGACACAGATCGTAGTGATCAGATTGCAGACGATTCAGATGCTTCGACGAGTTGAGGTCACGGGATTAGAAATGAGCCTGAATTGCCTAATTTCTGCTTGGCGACGAACCCGTCGTGGGCATTGTGCATGTACAACGTACACTTCATTTCTGGGACACGTGCTTTTGTCACGTGAAGCCACACATGACGCAGATTATTTGCAATAACTGGCGTTAGACGTGAACACAAGTCGAGCGAGTACGAGAGATTGGGCGAATGCGATTAGCCGACAATAATTAGATAAGGTGTGGGGTAGAAGTGTGTGGCTGTATGTCCTTGAGACCTGTCAATTGAGCAGCACATGTTGGCGGAGAAGAAGGTGGTTGTTAGTGTCAGTGATGTTTGCACGGCAAATGATATCAAGATGATGCTGCAGTTGATGTGACGGGTGACATATTGCATCGTGAAGTTCAAACACGAGTGAGTTCGCGGTTTCGGAACATGGACAAACTTGACTGGTGTGTCACTCAGAGCAGCGGTGTTGCATGACAACCAATCACAACGTTTGATAGTGCTATCTTGTCAGCCTTTATGAGAATATACATTGGCCGTATCCATTGGTTCTGAATTGTGTCGTGGAATCCAGCACGTGGGAATTCATGGCTGCAAAACTAGTGGGGTTTCAACGGTGAGTAGATCTGACCAGCAGATTTGCATGAGCACGGGCCAACTGGGTGTGCTGGTCCTGAAGAACTTCGATTGTTTATCACCCTCTGCGGTAATGAGCATTCCCATTAGCAAAGAACAAGGTTTGACTGCTTGATTGGACAAATCCAAGATGCAGGCTGTAAGGTATTCAGGATGTAACGAGGCGAACTGAGGTGCTTTCGAGTGCAGAGTAGCGGACTTTGTTTGTGGAGGGCTGCGAAGCCATGCGTCGATTGACTTCGACTGTTTCGACTCACGACTATTGAATGAAGCGTCATGTAACGCTGACACCACAGACAAGAGTGCAGGGGCATTTCTTAACAATGGCTGAGTGTATCAGTTTGGTGGTAGACGTTTTCTAGCGAGAGCTGCCACCGCAACTCGAACTAGGGCCTGAGAATAACCAAGGTATGACTAGTGCTTGGCATTACTTTGAAAGGAACCTGCGACTATCCAGTGTCCGCACACTTTTGGCATGATGTGAATTCGCGCGAGAAAGCAACCTCCAGCAATTGGATTTGACCAGTCACGAATAGATGTGATGGATTGACAGAAATTATGCTCCGTGTTTTGGCAAGGACAGGCAACTGTACTGCAGTTACTTAGACTGTCACCCCACCGCCACCACCACCACCACCACAACCAGCACCAGGTGATGTAGCAAAACGATCAGTTAACAATGGTGTGGCGGGTTGCATTTTTGGACAGGGCAGAATGCGTGTGTGCGCGCGGTTGCCCTCGATACCAGTTAATGGGATGCGTCGCGTTTTAATGTGGAGGCTGATGGCGAAGAGAGGAGGTGTCGCTCGCAGACGCTCTGTCCTGTTGTGTTGACCTGGTTACTTGCAAGTCATGCCTAGTTGTGAGGCTAGCGAGTTGAGCCAACCAAATTGGCGGTGGGTCCAGTGTGGCAGCACCAGTGGTGTGTGTGTGTGTTGATGCGCGGCCGTGTCTTTGACGTGGTTGTGGAAGTCGAGTCACGTCTGCACACCTGTTTTTCCATGATTTTACGCTTTTTGGGGACTCTGTTCAGCTGGTTCACTGCCCACAGTGTTCATGTTGGTGAGACTGAAGGAATGCCCACATTGGACACGACTGTCCATGACCAACTCAACTCTGACACACGCGAATGCAGTCAGCTGCTCAAGCGAGATGTGAGTAGCGACCTACAAGTTGAGTCTTCGATGGAAATTTAGACTAATAAGAGGAGAGAGAGATATGGACGACGATGGCATCTGTTGGTTGCTGGTGATGCAGTGTGCCACGTGCTGTCACCGGATTTGATTGGTTTGCAAATCTCTTTGGTCGGGTGGCAGATGAGAGATCGGACTACACTTTGATTTGGTTGGGAGTTAGAGCGAGAGGGGCATAGCTTCTCTTCTGGTTCGAGTCCCATTGAGTTAGTCAAATCTGGAATCCTATTTATTCCTCAAATGTGATTGGCCAAGTTCTGGTGACGCAAGTCCCCACGAACATGAGTACCGGGGTGCACCTCTTTGATGTTGCTGTTACTAACCAGACCTCGGCAGATTTGTTTAAGCTTCTGAGTAGTAGATCAATAAGTCATTTTGATAGTTAAGTGAATCGAGGTTGCATGACGCATGCATTTTCAAGTCCTAGAGTTTATGCCTGATTGTGATTCCGCTGGTAACGCTCGTTTTCGCCTACTTGAACTCTGTAGTTCTTGTTAAAGTACTGATTTACGAAATCAGGTGTAGGCGTGCTCGTTAACTACATTTTAGTTTATCTGTTCTGCTCAATTGAGGGATCTTTCGTTGTCAAATATGTTTCCTCCTCATTGACGTATTTGGCTGACGTGAAAAGCGATATCTGGACGTGTTTGGTGGCCAACTAACTTGCCTGTTAAAGATCTCTAGACGCTACACCATTAAGCTTTCGTGAAAATGTTTGTTTAAACCTGATAGACAAATGAATTATCCAGGATCAGTCTAGTAACGTTTTATCAGTCTCAAAGACCTCCGACAACATCAGCGCTAGTGTTTTTTTAGTCATCTCAAATTGTTCAACTTCGAGATACTTCACAATGAAAAGGTAGTTTATTGTAAAATGACAAACCAGCCGCCAATGCGTTGTTTTCTGAATAGGCAAAATATTTTGGAAAAGTTGAACAATTGATGCAGTTTTGTGTACTGCCAAATAGCAAGCGATTTCATCAGGTCTAATAGTATTGTTTCATGCCTTTATTTGTGTTTTAAACCATGTATAAACGATTTTTAGAGATCATTTTCTTGGGTAGAGACTGTAGAAGATGCGTCGTTAAGTCTTTTTACAATTTCCCTCGTCGTAGAGACTGTTTGGTCACTAATTTGAGTTAAACACACTGATGAGATACACCAAGGTAGAAACAGCCAATTTAAGTGGCTGAAAATGAGTTTGAATTAGTCAAAACAAGTGTTTTTTTTCCTGTTTTCTTTTGCAGAAACTTATCTCCGCAGAGAGATATTCAGCGCTGAGCGTTAAGACTCGTTCTGTGGAGAATTATGGTCTCTACGTCTGCGTTGGTTTAGCAGCTCAAAGAGAAACAAGAAAAGTCGTTATTTTGGCTGAAGCCGGTAAGTGTTACGACCTTAACCAGCCAATCAAAAGTATGACTTAAGTATGACTTAATTTGGCACACAAAATCTTAGTTTGTTTCTGTCAATATGTGCCACAATTTCTAGATCTGTTTGGAAGCACTTAGATTCTGGATGCCGTTTTTACAACTTCGGTCTCTGCGCCGTTTGCGTGTCGTGTCACAATTTTCGTTAGTTAATTAAAACACCGACAGACGCACTTTAGCAAATTAAGTTAACAGGCTGGTATGCTTTAAGTAGTTCGCCAGACACTTAAAGGCGCTGAATCGAATAGCCACCACAAGTAACTAATTTTGTAGACAAAATGCGAGATTCTGTCGTTCTACTGTTTCAGGACCACCGCAGATCGACACCCAGACCCACGTCTCTGGAAGAGTCGGTGGAAGGAGTAGGATCGCGTGTCGCACAGTCGGCTTGCCCAAACCCACTCCTCAGGAATTCTTGTGGTCTAGAGTTTCTACAAAACAACCGATCACTCCATCCCTCTCGTACGTTTAACCGCGCCTTTGTAAAACACCCAAACGCTCCCATAAATCCATTGTTGGAAGCCCTTCAGTCGCGTGGTGTGTAAACCTGCGTACTTCCCACACCGTGTTGGTAATCAGGTGGTACACAAGAGGCAACGAATTTACTGGTTAATCATCTCATGATTGGTGCAGAATGCACAACGTCACTTCTCAACTAACCTCCATGATACGTCAGACAAATCAGGTTTTTGAAAATCAATAACGATTTCCGATTGCAACTCGCAAACATTGGTCAGTTCATTGTAAGTAAAATACAGTTATTCTGTGCTTGATGCATTAAACCTCCTTGCCAGTAGGGATGGAGACGATTGTCAATTCATTTAATCACCAAGTTTTGTTGGAAGAGTGGTCTGATTCACACCTCTGGACATTTGCATGACCTCATGCAGTATTGCATGTCAGATGAGTCAGCTAATGACCTCGACCTGATGATTTAAGCGGAAGTAAAAAGGGGCTTAACGCCATTGGAGCCATTGTAGGTGTACACCCAACACTTATCTACCTCAACAAGTCCTTGTTTTTGTCTGTATTGGAGGTTTGCAGGCACTAGGAAAATCGATTTTTAAGTGAAGCATTTTCGAAAAGCTGACATGGGAGTGAGGTGGTATTAAACCCTTAGACGTTCCACATTAAATAATCTTGTATCTACTGACGGTCAAATAAAGATTTTGTTAACCACCGTTGTTATATAATCTGCAATGTCTTTTCTGATAGACGGGACATCACAAGGGCCCCCTGTTTGGCCAGTTTAAATCAACCAATCAGCTCTCAGATAGTCCTGTCTCATTTCGAGAGACACCTCAATGAGGCAGTGGAGTTATCTTGTGCTTATAAATCAATAGAGTGTTAAATTCTCAGATAAAGAATCCCCACTTTAGTGTAATTAGAATTAGTTTTGAGTGGTTATAGAGACACCAATCAGATTTAGACGACAGTTACCACCTCTATTCACCCCTAAGCATCCCGTACGACCGATGTTTTATAAAAAAAAACTGATAAAGTTACGCCTTCTGTGACATATTTGCTTATGTAGAAACGATGTAAGTACGCATTTGAATTTTGTTAATTTCTACCCCATGAAATTTTCCGATTTAGGCTAATTATTCGTTTGTTTGTGTAAAGTCAACTTTTGTCCAAAAAAATACTTTCCTGGATTGGGCTTTTTTCCTCATTTCAACTGCCAATCAAACCGTTAAGTCACCAGCACAAAGTACCACTACGCACGCACGCACGCACGCGCGCGATAAGCTATTACTGTGTAGTGTTAAACTTCTCCACAGCAAATTATGGGCAGCAACGCCAATTTACCGTAAACACAAAAAAAGGCACCAGCCAATCGTCAGAGCTTTTCTCCTCGTTAATTGCACCTGTGTCCATTTCGACGTTCTCGAACAATTAACGCGCATAATAGATGTCCCAGTCTGATTGACTTGTCCGTCAGAATTTGTGGACAGAGCAAAATTATGCCAACGCCAACACGTTGCATTTTACTCCCTACCAAAATCAATATCGCGATAATTTTAAATATCCACAAAATTGAGGCAACTCGTAGCTACTTTAGGTTGCCACCATTTAAATACGTTTTGTGAAAATACAATATTTTTTTAAATTTTAATCGAAATTTCCATTTTAAGGAGTTTTCGACATTTTAGTGTGCACATTGAACACGAGGAAGACCTTGCTGGTTCGACCAGTGCGCTGGAGATCAATCCGGTTTCCAAGGAACACTTTGGACTATACAACTGCACCGTAGTAACCGCGTTCGGAGTGGACTCAACAGTAATTGCATTCAAAGAAATAAGTATGAATGATCCTGAGATTTTAAATTGAAACATTTTTCCCATATTTTTTGGTGCGTGACAGGAAATCTCTGCTTATCGATTTATTCTAGCCCGTTTTTTTAAAATTAATTTCCTGAATTTAAAAAAACCTTGGATTTTATAGGTGCAGAAAGGAGCGGCTTATCGATTTGTTATAGTGCGTTTTTTTCTATAAATTGATTTCCTGCATTTTGAAAAAAATCATCGATTTTAACAGAGGAGGTACCGTACGCGTTTGCCGTAGGAGTTGGTGCGGCTTCTGTTGTCTCGGTGATATTTGCGGCTGTGATCTTGTGGATTCTGCGTCGATTCATTCGACACAAACGCAGCGGAAGGACAGCGAGAATTATCACTGCCAATTACCGCCACGATTCTGTCGACGCCTATTCTGGTGAGTATCTCTTAAATTGGTGACGATACCTAGGCCCTAATTGATAGTTTTTTTTTATATTTTTCCTTAAATTTATAACTCATTTAAAAACATCTTTTTCTGATTCCTATTATTTTGAAGCAACGTAGGCGACTTCCAGCTAGAGAAAATCAATTCTCTCAAATTAACCAATCAAAAAATTGCAAGAGCGACTTTTTGATTGGTTTGATCGAATCGTGATGTAGCCGAGAAAGTAATGTAACTTTAAGAAAGCACGTTTACCTGTTGCTAATAAATTTGTGACCGACCAATTAAATGCAGACACGCAGTGGACGGTAGATGCACACGTGAATTGCGTATTTTCTACAAAATGCTATTGAAGGTTGTTTAAATGTTGTCAATTTTTAGGTTTTAAAAGTGAGTTATTAACTCCGCCTGCTCTCTCAGGCAACCTGCTGACGATTCTAAAAAAAGTTTTATTTCTTTTCTGTTGTTTACCATCCGCTAGAACGGATATCGACACTTGGACGTCGGTCGGTGCTTGAGGAACCCACAGAGGTCAACCTGAGTAACAAGGTGAGTTTCTGAGTGCACAGAATCGCGCCTCCTGCACGTCCACACCCCAAACAGCACATAACGGTACCCATTTGATGTTGAGTGCCATTAATTTCGCTTCTCAAATTAGCGTCACGCCCAGCAGAAAAAGCAACTTCCTGTTCTCTCGTAACGCTGCTGTTTTATTTGTGTTTTCTCTAGATTCATCACGATGGGAACCGCACGCTACTGCCGTTACCTATGCAACCGCTATCAACCTGGTCGGTGGCTTTGATGTTTTAGTTGCCAAAATTGGGTGAATGTTCAAACGCTGCAGAAAAACGTTTGTGTGTGTGTGTGTGTTAAAGTGCCAAATCGAGAAGTGAAATGTGGGTTACCAAAGTTGTCCAATAGAATTAAGGTGCCTAATGCACGTTTTCAACCAATCGAAATCGTCGAAACTCACACACAGCCCTGTTAAATCTAGAGTTGACTTTTGGAGAATAGGAGAATATTTTTACTAGGTTGTACGTGATCCTGTGAAGCAAACACACAGAGTCCGATGGGTTCAATGTCATTTTCACCGCAGCGGATAAAATGTTTCTCGTTTATCTTAGGCACTTCAAATAGATTTACTGACCAGTGCCTGGACGATCACGTGTAGTTTCATTAACTTCGCGATGCGTCCGTCTACGAGTTGAAACAAATCGCTTCTTTAAAAGATCCATGTTTTTTCCCATTTTTTACAACTGAATCTGGCCCCTTTCACGAAAGTGGTTCATAGTCTAAAATGTTGCTTTTGCTTAAACGTGATTGGCTGGTTTAAATTTGTTTAAATTTAATGATGTATATTTGAAACTCAAGAAATTATCACTTACACACAAAACGATGTCTTTTGAAAGGCCTATTCGCAAAATTTTCGTGAGAATTTAGGCAAAAAATGCTATGCTGAACGCAAGTTAGTGAAGTTTGGTTAGATAGTAAGGATTAGGTCTGACTCCTGTTAAGCTCCAAGTTTTTCTCTGAAATCCAAGACTTAAATTACTAACGTGCGGGTCTTTTGATGAAAATTTTGCAAAAATTTCACGCAAAATTCGATTGTTAAGTGCTAAAATTGTTCCATTTCTAGAGTTTGCATTGACGGTTACTTTTCCAAATACTTTTGTAAGAGTTCTTTACTCCAATAGAACGAAAGTAACGTGAATTCGATTCGCGTGACTGCGATTTTAGTATAAAAATTTTGACAATTTGTAAAAAAGGTGGATGGTTTGGTTGGTTGGAGCAGAATGTATCCTTGTGGCACTTTTGTTAAATAAGAAGATTTACTGTGATTTTGCGTGGTTACGCACAACACAAACCAAACCTAATTTACTAAGACCACTTCCAGCTTCGTGTCGTTTATATTTGCTGCTTCTGAGAAAAATTTAAATTTGATTGGCTGTTTATGCTTGTTTGAGTTATTTACTTCTTGTGGACGAACATAATTGGATCGCCTTTAGCCAATAGGATTCCCGCGATTTCGCATTGCTGATGTAATCATTACTAGGTAACTTCACCCACAATTTGAAAAATCAATCGATGCAGAATAAATCAATTATACACGGGTTTGAGTTGTTAGAAAATGTTTTATAAAGATAGTATCCAAATGAATGATGCAATTAATTTATTTACTAATGAAACCCTAACTTGTTGCAAACATAAAATGTTTCATTACCTTTTGCTCCATCATAGAGTTATTATTAACTTTTAAACCATAATTCATCTATTCGAGTTAAATTTCCCATAAAATAATTGGAATGGTTCGGCTACCATGACACCTTTTGTTCCGTCCACGGTTGAGTGAGTTTGTTTTAACGCGTGACAGTTCCATGAAGGCTCCTGTGGAGCGCAACTTACCAAGGTGGCCTCCGTCTAAATTTGATTGGATAGAAATCATTTTTTTTTAAAATGACCGCCTGCGAAAGTATGGTTGATATTTTTATTTAAGCTGGCAAATAAATCCAGTAGCACCTGCTTATTTTTAGCCTCATCCGAAGCCCTTGTCACTTGGTCTCGTATGAAGGTGGATCAGAGTACACGTCGGTCACCGGTTCACCAATAATTTCGCGCCTTCGTGACCATCACGGATCAGTCCCCGGTACCATGGCAACCATCTACCAAGCTGCGCCACCTGAGAACGACAAGGGGGACTTTTCGCCAACAGACGGCCCAAGCGACGTTGTCAGTAATTCCAGACTCGCGCTCCTGACCGCGTGCAGTGCAAATTTTCGTGATCAGCTATTTCCAACATGAATTGCAGAATGTGTTGCCTTCTTTTAGGTTGCGCGTTCATAATTTAAATATAAACGTATTGCCTACTTATTTCATATGCGTAGCCAGTGTATACTAGTTGCTGCAAAAATGTCGATACCTGTAATCAAGCATACAGAACAGCCGACGGGTGGTTTGTGGTCACCGTGGTTTATTTTCAGCCAATAAGAAAGTGAATTCGTAGGTTTTTCTGCCAGTTAAATGTGTTATAAAGACAGAGAAATTGCAGACATCAATAATTGAATTTATGTCCAATTAAATCCTGACCAATCGTGAGTCGCCTAAATATCGACCGACCACGCTTGCACGTGAACTAGAAGTTTTATCGGGAAAATCAATAGCTGTTGGAAGAAGTTTACCATGAAAGCGAGTGTGTCTCTGGACACAGGATCTAAGCGGATCTCGTCTACTGCGATGTTGCCAAGCATGACATATTCAAAATTACGAAAATCTCAATGAAAGCAAGCGGACCAATAAATCGATAATCGATTTTCTAGTGCGCCATTTTTAAACAGCCTCTGTCATCGACTGACTTTTGCGAACACAAAAGCTGAGTGCAAGGTGGTATAGCGGGATCTTTCCGGTTTGAAATTCCACTGCGATATGATTGGATAGTCTGTGTTGGAGCTTCATTTAATGATCTGTTGATAGCTAATTGACTCCACTAACAAGATCTGATTGGTTTTAAATGCCATCAAAACTAGGATTCTGATTGGTAAATCGGTGCTGGAGTTCCAAAATGTGATTTGTTGGTAACTAAATAACTTAGTTCAAATGATTTCATTGGTTTGAAGTGCCAATGAAAACTGAGATTCTGATTGGCAGTCTATGGTGGGATAGACTGTGTTGAGATCGCATCTGGTGATCTATTGATTGCTAAATGACTCCACTAACAAAATCTAGATAGTTAAAAGTGCTAAGGATTAGCAGTTCATTGTGTTTTCCATTAAATGAATTGCTACCAAGTAACAAACTCCACTCACAAGATCTTATTGGTTAGAAATTGAAATGACAATTCCGACTCTGATTGGTGGTTCATTGTAAGACAGTCAATCTTGAGATGGCATTCAGTGATCTTATTGACCGGAAATGCCAGTGAGAGAAGCGTGAGGTTTTGGGGTTCTAGTAAATAATCAATTGCCATCTATCCAAAAGGATGTGTGATTAAAGTGGAAGCATTCATTGTGACATTCAGTCCTCACCCAAAAACTCATTTCGCGAGAAATCGATAAGCGTATTTACGGCTGTCTTTATTCCCATCACAAGGCTTATCATTTATTCCTTCAAAAACTCGGTTTCGTAGTCTAATTTCTACCTAAGATCACTGGCAAACCTTCTGCTCACATCTCAGTTGCCCCCGTGTTCAAGTCCTGTTACTGCTTCCGTTGTTTGTCTAATCTCTGCAGTACAAAATGTCAAGGACTCGGGGGTTAATAATCTTGGGGATGGAAATCATTATAAAACCACAGCACTATCCAAAGGCATCATGACATTGTTTCTAAACCTGTTATACTTTTAAAAATATGTTTCTTTCGATGCGACCTACGCGCAGTGTTATTCATGAGCCTGGGTATATAACCCACATGATCACAACTGCAACATACTTTCCTGGTAAATATTGAACAAGCGACAATCATACGCGCATGATTTACACCACCTAGAGAAATTCTGTCACCCCAACCTTTTTCTTCAAAATCCTTTTGAAAGATCAAGATTTTATGAGGATTACATGAAGTCGAAAAGGAGTAAATTCTTCAACGCTCGAGTGAGTTGACGGAATGGACCTGCTACTGGTAAACTTGTCAATTTATAGAAACAAAGTAGGCTGTAGTTTTACGCCACTTTGAGTTGTACGTTTCTTTATTAATCCAGTCGATCAGACAAAGGATGACGTGTCGAGGCCATATGACATGGGCCGATCTAATGCTTTCAAATGTTTCTAGCGAGGTGTTCTTCGTCTTAACGATTTCTCGTTCACTCTAAATTTGTACAAAGGAACGTTCTGAGCTGTATACTAGCGGTTTCGTTCACTGACGACAATGCCGAAGTGTTCAACCACTAACAGAACATCAAAATCACCCTACGATAGTTTTAATACGGCTGAAAACCATGTCTAAGCCTTCGTATTTAAATCTGATTGGTTAAGACCGGAGTCAAATGTTGAAAATCCACACTCAACCTGTCTTGCTGCTATTTACTTTGCTAACTGTTGTTAGAGAAATCGCTTAGAAAGTTATCTTGCGTCTTCTAGGCAACAGAACAATAGAGTTGCAGAAAAACTGGCTACATTTGCTGGTTTTTTGACTCTGCTAATGCACAGAATACTAATTTGTTTGTTTTGTTTTACACAGCGCGGGTTTGAAGGCGCCAATCTCAAAAATGAGAGAATTTCTCGGGTCACATGAGGCGTACCTGAAGCATTTGATTATAAATTATTTGGAAAAGTTTTAACTTTTGCAATTATTGCATAAGGAAATCAATATTTTTTAATTTAAATCAGTAAAAAAGATCAGTTGTGTGGATTCAGTCATCCGTCATTCTAGGATAGTGCTCTAAATTATCCAGAAGGTTCTTTTTAGTAAAAAATCAAAACAAATTGAATTCACATTTTAAACTAAAGACCCGCCCATTCACTGTGATGTAACTATTTAAAACACAATGCAAGCGGACATATAAGGCTGTGTTTAAATACTTAAATTTAAACAAAAACAGTGACCTCTAATTTTTGCTGCTTTCTATTTTTTTAATGAAATGCAAATAATGTTCTTTCTCGAAATTCAGGACATAATTAAGTAAATGTATCTACCCATGCAGAAAAAAGATCGATACGTGAAATTTCAAATTTTAAAGGCTGAATTGATTTATTGTTTCAAATGCGGAGCGTATTAATCGATATTGAGTACATTAAAATGCTGAAAAGATTTATCGTCGTCCAAACCTTGAGTGTGGTCGCCAAGCAAAATGCGCCGAGCGTCTTGCAACTTCTCGTTCACCCATGGGGCTCCACATAGCACCATCACCAAACTCACCCATCATGGGAAACCTTTTGTGAAATCGAAGCGGTGGTGGTACGACAAAATCGATGTCCTCATCATCCAAATCGGCTTCGGGCTCTCTGAGACGCAGGGCACTGGCGAAGCAGAGGAGAACCATCAGGATTACGGAGGTCTCAGTCAAGCAGCTGACCATTTTCCGGGATTGCGCAGAGTGCAGTTCGGAGTAGTTGGTATCTATTTAAGACATTCACTTTCTGGCCAACCATCCAATCAAATTACTCTGCCAATCAGAGTGCGGCGATGTTGGTGAAACTGTGGACATGTAGTTTAAAATGGTGTCCTGTTAATGCGTCAACTCGGAAACCACTATACTATGAGAATTTGGCAAACACAATTAAATAAGTCACTTTTTAAATTAACGCATTTATAATTAGTTATTGCCATGCTTTCGACTTGCTTTAATGAGGTCAAATGTGAAGTGTAAGGTGATAGGACACTTGTGAATTGGACCAATGAAAACCTTAGAAAGCCACACATGATGTGTTCAGTTGAGTAGCCAATTAACACGTGAGTTCTCATTACCATTGCGGCCAAACACGTATTTAGCTACTTACGTTAATTTAAACAATAGACTCAAATATTTAGACTAAATTACGTGTGGTTTCTAGCCAGAATCACGACCAAACGTGCGGTGGTTTCCACAATAAAAGTATTTTTCTTGGTACAGTTAGCGTCGTTCTGGATTGGATTCGTCATTCATTGGTTGATTTTGAGTTATCATAAATTGATTTTAAAAAGTGGTAGCTAACCCATCCCCGCATCTAGGCACGACTACTTTTGTTGATGATGATCCAGCCTGAGTTTGAGAATTGAGTCGAAGTGAACGTGACATCTATGGACAATCAGAAACGAACAGCCTAGTTTGTCAACTGTGGCCCCTTTATTTAAACCAGGCGGTACCAGTAGTTATGTTTTAAAACCACTCTGAGAAATTTATGAAGTTATGAAAAATTCAGGTTTTTTTTTAAATTCAAAACTGATTGAACCAATTAAGAGACGGATATGGGTACGTAGCCGATTTTAAAAGGCATACATTTACTTAAATTAAAGTATTCTTTTTAAAATTTGCCCTTTTGAAACCCGAGTGAAGTAGGTTTTAGATAATTCAGTTGTTGAGGCAGTTGAAAATTCCTTTTTAGTGAGTAGATTTCTAATTAAACTCTGTGTTAACGGACATTACGTTGTTGAACAGAGATGATCCTTTTCACGCACTCTGATGAATCAATAGTGTTGGTTCTAATTAGTCACAATGATGATTCGAAAATGGGGTAAGTACGCTCAATTCAAAATCCTTTTCACAAGACTCTAAGTCACGTTGTTGCCTCCACGTTGGTTGATACGGGGGGCAATTAAGACAACCAAGACGTTCCCTCTATGGTTCAATTCAGCTGTAACGTCATGTGCTCACGAGGTCGAAGGCACAGGTGGGGGACATGTAACCACAGCGACTTGGTCACAGGGGGCCGCGATGAGGTGAGTCACGTGGTTTTTGAACCTCCACATAAGTTTCCTGCTCACATGGTCTTTCACTAAAACTGGAAACTTATTGATTTTCCTATTGGCTGGTTCATTGTAACCAATAATTTCCACCAATGGTGAATCACTGTGTTCGTGAATGCTCAAAATGAAACAGCTGGGCAATTTACTAGTCAGGAGAAGGCAATTTAAACAGGATTTCATTGTGCAATCAAGTTGTAAGAAGCTCTGTGTTTTGAGGGTACAATAATGATTCGTGTTCAAGCCATTGTTTAAATCAGGACACAGAAATATGATTGGACAACACTTATCTGATGTCACAATGAATTGCCATGGAATGTAGGAATCTCCTTCAGAAATTCCCTAGTTCTTTTGCAAGAAGGCATTGTTGATCCTTTCAAGTCAAACTGTGACTGCATCGATTGCGCTAGTTACCCAAAGCCGTAGGCATCTATGACGCCTGAGGCGATATCGCGCTTTATTCCTCGACTAAAAGTGCATATTTTGTCCGCTAAGTAGTCGCTAAAACTCAAGGGTTAACCTCATACATTGCGAATAACTGTTTTTATTCCGTGCTAGTATTTTTGGGAAAAGAGTAAATAGCTGTAAACCCATTAGCCAGAGAATTAGGTTTGTGTGGTTATCGGGGAGTGGGGTAACCATAAAATCTGACCTCTTAGATGCGAGGACACAAATAACTTGTGGGTGTGTGTTTACAGGTTACTTTTATTTGTTGTAAATGAGCTCTATTCAGGTGAATGGAAGGTAATAAAAGGCTAGCGAGGGATTTCATTAAAACCCAGAATGTATTCCATTTCTTAGAACTGTAGTGACGCTTTCACTTCGTTACACGCGGCAAGCATTTATTCATGCCACGTGCAGCTCAACTTTGACTCAGTTTACACGCCACAGTCCAAAAATCAATAATTCCGGCGTGGTAGCCGATCGATAAAATGAACGAGCTGGCCTGGATTTTGCCACAAGTTGAGACATTGGTAAGTGTTAACGAATTGAACGTACTCTCGCCAATCAAGAGTTTGCTTCAGGCAAATTTGCCAAAATTTCGTTAGTAATTTCTGTGTCTCACTCGTGATTTTTTTTTCTGAATAGTTCAGTGCAAACAAATTCAGAGGAGGTAGATCTATTAACTGCCGACACATGCCCACATTGCATTAGAGTTTGTGCAAAATGGCACTCCCCTTATCACAAGAGTTTTTCTGCCTGGCGCCTCACAGATGTACCCTCGCCAGTGTCCATTAACACCATTAGACCAATCGCTGTCCATCTCGTTGTTTCCTGCAGTCTCCATTTGACAAATTGTGACTGGCAAATTAGTTCATCCTAGTGAAACTAAAGGTCTAAATTAACATGAGCTGCTGACATTAAGTCTTTTATTAAACTTCGAGCCAGCTCTGTTGAGGGTATGTCTATGTTACAGAGGGTTCGACGTTAACCTCCAGTTACAGCTGGATTTTACTGCATGGAAATAATTGGAGTGGCTTGGCGATTTCCGGATGATAACGCTATCCTAGCGCTTTCTCCTACCCAGCTGTCGGTAGCAATAAATTACTCGTTTTTTGGCGAATTGTGGTCATTGACTTCTTTTTAAACCTTAGTCAAGTTGATTAACGCTAGTCTGCCGTGTTGGGTTCTCTGTTGGTAAAAAACTACAATTGATTAGCATTAATTGTTACACTATGAAATCACCCTCATGAGAGGATTCGTTTTCCGGGGAACGCAAGATAGGTTCTGTAACCACTTAGCTGCGCTTAAGGCTCCAGCCGTTTGGCCAAAAAACTTATTGTGTCCGATTTTCATGTATAGGAAAAGCATTTCTTCTTGAATGCGCTGGTGGTGTGTGTGTTATTAAATGGCATTATCTGAGTTTGAAAAACGAGTGAGTATTGGGATTACAGCACAGTGTGTTCAAGACGTCGCCGTGTATAGTGCTACTGCGCCCAGGATACTCAAAAATAGAATGTTGGTCGAGTTTAAAGTGGCGACATCCATCTACAAACGTGGACCTGCTCTAGGTATCGACTGTACTGAGCAAACTGAACCGTGTTTCGAAGCTATTTCTTTCCAAGGAAACGATTCCCTTGCGTCTGGTTGGGGGATAACAGGGAAGTAATAATTTGCGAAGTTTCCTCTTCAGCGTGACCAGACACCAGCTGTGAAGAAGTACGCTAAGTAAGCCACACAACACGTCCTAATTTGTGTCAATCAAAAAGGGATATACGTCGCCTACTGAACACCCAATAGCCCCTCCGTCCTACCCTAGCCTCAGTCTTGCCCATTTTCATCCATTTCGTGTTTTGGCAATCAATATTCAAATAAACGGTCAAAGTGGGAGGTGGTGAAGAACCAGAGAAAAACCAGAATCTAAAAAGATATTCCAAGCAATTTGGTGAAATTACGTTAAAGAAGTAGTGTAAATTGACCACTTTCCAAGCAATCAAGCGACTTAGTCCCATATTTACGCTCAACGTTTTGCAATTGCAAATCAAGACCCCTCACGCTGGAAATTGTTTGAAATCCGATCGAGAAACGACGTTGTGGCATTCAGTATGTCGCTTGTGACGGTGTCGAGCAATGATCAATAAAGTGGAGATCGGACGGCAAATGGCCATCAGACAAATTGTGCTCTATTTCACACCGCGAAACCTAACTTTTGATAAAACTGACGCCTTTGTCGTGAAACTCACGGCCGAAATTGCACCGATTGTACGTTATTTTGTAGTGTTTTTGAATTGTCTCACTGCGCGTCTTTGCTTAGTAATGGTTCTATTAGAAAAAATGGCTTTTTATCACTGATGCATCTGTTGATAAGGCCTTCGTGCTTCAATAATTCCACAATCTTCATTGTCCAGTAAAAGCTCCAAAAAACTGGATCCAGTGGGAGGATCATGCGCTAATTCATCTCTGAGTCTACGGTTGGCTTCCATGGCTAACCGGACAGGTAAGGACGAGGTCTTTCGTGGATGGAAGGTTTTCCGAAAGAAGGGACGTGCAGCAGCCGGTTTCGTGGGATGCATAATTAACCTTTTGGCCAGGCAATGCCACGCTTGCATAACCGCAGCACATAGCCAAACAATGCTAATTAGCATACGAAAAAGTCTTTACGACAATGTGCTGTTCACGAAAGATGTAGCAAGGTACCGAAATCGATAATGTACTGAACGGTAAACAGTGCTTTGATTGTTCCTATATTTAAAGAGGATATGCCGTCTTATTTTAATTAACTTTGGATTAAGTTGTCAAAACCCATGCTAATGTATATGTTAACGTAATATATATGTAGAGCAGCTGTTAAATTCCAGTTTCAATGCTCAAACAGCTGGAATCCGCATCAATAAAGGGATTTCAACAACCTCTTATATCGATTTTTTGCCATAGAAGCACTCAGCAGCAATCAGTCGTCACCATTGGTGACGCCCGGTAAACCGTTAGTGGTGACCAAGTCAAAGATAATTTGTTAGACTAGAAAGACTAACAAAGTATTTGCTAATTTTTTTATCATTTAACATGTGGACTTGTGCTTTTACTGAATAATGGCTGAGGAGGGCATTTTGAAATTTAAATAAAACTGCGTAACGGCAGGGGTTAAAAAGTTCAATTCTCACATGATTTAACACTCATGGGCGCTCAAGTGCACAAACGCTCCCTGTTCTCAACCTGTATTATGAACGCACTGCATGGGCTGTTACCATGACAACAGTGAATGACATGCACTACAAGAGGAAATATAATTATCGCTAAATTGGCGTTTGCGATTACGTTGGCGGTGTTTCCAAAGCAAACCCTTGTTAATTGTTATTACTCTCACTTTTGTTCACTACTGGTTGTGGCCTTGGTAGATTTCAATGACCTAAAAGTTCTGTTTGATGAGGAATAGCGCTGTCCGCAATTCACCATGCTCAACGGCCATCTAAAGCATTCCGCTCATGAAATGCAGGAACAAGAGCTGATTATAATAAGGGGTTCCGTCACAAAGCGACCAAAATGTCTCGTGACGATCCACCAATAAACCGTGCACTGGATTAATTCACGAAATTTGAGTCAGAACGTAAGGCAGCACAAAATGGTAGCCCGTGAAGGTAAACTTTTGCACTGAGACATTGCCAACATCGTTGCGGAATTTCGGCTTTTGAAAAAGTTCAGAATAAAGATGAAGTTGTAGCGTTCTGATGGGCGTTTGTGGCTCAGGAGCACTTAGGTAACACAATCGCTGATTTCTTTTTGTTTTTCAACTGTCCAGCTGGAAATTGTGTTACTTAAACAAATTCGTAGAAAACCCAAAATTTTAGTTTTTTTTGCGAACGTGATAAAGTCCCATTTTTGAAAAGAACCGACAAAAACATTTTCAAGCAGCGTAAATACTGATACTGCGTTAGAGGCAGAAAATCGATAACAATCGATTAAACGCTGAATCGGCGTTTTACGGCGCGCTGCTTTTGGGTGAATGCGATTTACGCGAAAGATTTGATTGCTGGCCTTCTTAACAGGCTCGCTTAATGCGGAATTCAAAATATGTGGAGGTTAATTTGTCCAGATTGTGACTTCGCCTCGGGTAAATCTTTCTTTGCTCGGATTTTCACTCATGCGACAACTTGATGCCGACACTGAGAGTCCATCTGATTTTTACCTTCACAAGTAAATGGTCAAAGAGACCGTGTTCTACTCCAGCGCATTGAAATTCGAGCTTTTCGTCAAGGGTTTGGCCGCACCTCCTTTTTTTGCGGATTTCCATATTAATCGTTCGTGAATATTTACTTTCTAGTGATAACTACTACAACATGTCTTCTAGAAATGGCCTAGATTCGAGACAATTCAGGGCCAAACGGTTACACAGAAGACTCGAAAATGGCTGTTTTTACATCTCCTACATTATACATGATGGGTTTGAGATGGAGTATTCGAGTAATTGGTCACGCCTATTTTCAATAGTGCGTCGCGAAAACATGCGACTTGTTCCACTTAACGGCGCGGTCGTTAACAGCACACCTGGAAAGAAGGGCATTGGTTAGCTTGCCGCGATGTAAGAATTCGTGAAAAACCTTTTGGTGAATTAATATTTGTTTAAATATACAATAGTGGAGACCGCCACCCGATAGTTTTGGTAACCAAGGCAGCAGCGGCAAGTATGAATCGAAATGCGCATTTGATGAATAACCAATTGCGGCACTCAGACAATTAACGGCTGAAGACAATCTCAATCAAATTCCTTACAACGCCACGGCAATCATCGTAACCACAAATGTCTCGATTAACATATTCAATTTTCGCTAACTGCGACAAGTGATAGACAGTGGGTAAGAACGTGCCAAATTCGTCAAGATGTTTATCAACCACTTGGCGGAGGATATCAACACATCAACCAGGCATTATAATCGATATATCACTCAAATTTTCCCTTGTTTTTTGCCTCACAACCACCGATATTTCTTACGTGAGGTTAGATTTTTGCCACCTAGTCAAGTGCAGGACGAGAACATTAAAAGCCATCTCCCCCAACGTCAACGAGCTCTGACGCCATACTCTGTCGTTTCGTGCATAAATTGGCGGTAAAGGAAGGCAAAAATTTTTTCATCGAGTCGTATTATGCTGTGGGCATATGCCCGTTCTCATGGTCCAGTGGCCACTTTATGACTCGGACAACACACGACCAGGTGGTGGTGGGACGCTTTACATTTATTGCAAATGTCCATTTATAAATCTATCAGACCTTTGAGGCGATCGGAGCAGTGAGCAAAGTACACAATTGTCGAAATGGCTTTAAAACACACCCTCCAGGTGCACGGTTTTGGGGTTCGTTTGACTTGAACGCAAAACTGGGTTGAAAGATCGCGTGCCAAACACGCTTTGTTCGCGTTTTGCTACTTGGAGTTTGCAAGTAAAGCTGGCGTTTTGGCAGCTTGAAGTAAAACAGCAGTTAAAAAAAGCACTCAGAGAAGAACGACTAATGGTCCGCACGCCTTTATTATCGAGAGTTAAGAGTAGTACACGGCCAAGAAGCCGAGAAACGCACAAATCGTGCTCTTTGCACAAAGCGGTGCTAGAAGATCATCAGTAAAACAGAATGACGGGTTTTGAGGGTTAGAAAAAGGAACACACTTGTTGAACGGAGCACGCGCCTTGTGCGTGAAGGGGGCAGATTTGGGCCGGTTGGAGAGTCTTATCACTAAAAACACGCACGCACATACACACACACACACTTATTCACTAGTAGAACGCGAAACGAAACAAGCAGGATTGACAGGCAGTGGATTAAATGCAACCAAAATGAAGGAAAGGGGAGGAAGGGGGGGCAGAAACGGGCCTAGAGGTGGAGCAGTCGCTGAGCAGCCAATAAGGTGCCCGCCGTGAAGCAGAGATGAGGCCATCGTGGGGCGCAGCCGCCGCCACTTGGTGCTGCAACGGAAAGGAGAAATTTGCACTGACGTGAGCACGCCAATTTAACGTCATCTAGGCGATTCGCCTGTTACCACAGCGGTGCACTCGCGGTCACTCTGGTGCAGGCTACATTTCGTGCTTACCTTCCGGTGCTGCCCCTTCACCTGTTAATTAAAGAAAAAAAATATGAATGATCACGCCACTAACGACGAGCTTGTGATTAAAATCTTAAAAATCTCGTGGCTTCTCAGCCCTGTTGTCTACTGTCGAAATGCCTACAATAGCTGCATGATTCAACGACTACAGTGAAATTGGCTAGCTCCACTTCCTCAGGTTGGGTCAGTTTGCGTGAATGGGCATCATTTGTTGACAAAGCGACTAACCCTTCAATTCGACGCCCTCCGAACGCGCAGCTTTCATGGCGACCGCGCGCGCACTCGATTCTGCCCTGCTCTGATTACCTGCAAAAGAGGTTGCGAAAAAGGAACAATTTTAGATTTTGCGATTCTGAAAAGCTACATTTCGCAGACGCGATGACTTTGGTAATTAAAAATACGTTAATGAATGAAGCTACAGTTTAATCTACTCCTGGTAGGTGGCAGTGAATCGTTCCACAAAAATATTGGTGAAGTCAACAAATGAACTCACCTTTCACTTCAACAGCAGCAGAAACTGGTTTCGATTCCAGCGGTTCATCTGTTGATGCTGTAACAATAAAATAATGCGCTGGGTTGTTTTCTACTATCAATGCATTACAACCTCAGTTTACTCTCTATCAAACACAAACTTGCTGTTAGGCAGGTCCACCTCTATTCAAACAAAGGTCAAAAGTGTTGCCTACCTTGTGGTGGCGTTGTTTCCTTTTCTTCGACCGGAGCCTCACTAGTAGAGATTTCATCTACTAATTAAGGAATAAGTCATTGTAGCAAGCCACAGCTATGTGTGCAGGCCATGTGCGTTTAAGCTACGCTCTAATCAATGTACTGTCAGGTCGTGTTGCATCAAGAGGACCACATTTACCTAATGGTCTTACCTTTCACTTCTTGGATTTCCTCAACAGGTTCGGCGGTCTGGAGGACCTCTGGAGGGACTGGAAGAAGACGGAACCACATTAGTTGGTGTTCTGGTGATTGACGAGTGGCACTGCGGGTGTGATTTGTATGAGATGGGACACACCATCCTCCACAATTGCACATTACGGTTCACACACTGACGGGTGTTTACGAAAGCTTGAACATGCCTAACTTGATCAGACAATGTCTAGAAGTTGAGCTTTATTCAACTTTACCATGTAGATGCATTTGCGTTCTTGGTTTCTTCTGTGGCGCAAGTAAGGAAAGCTACTGGTGCCTCTACATCATAATTAGTGGGCCACTGGATCCCACAGCATACTCCTCTCAGGATAGATTTCGTTAAAAATGACAGCTTCCAAGTCACCCATCGACCTCCGACGAGAATGGCGTTGTATTGATGATTTGCGAAATCGCATGGACTCAGGCCATTCTGGTTATTTTGGCTTTGGCTTACCTGCCGTAAGGCATTCAAAGTTTAGTTTGTCTGCGTTGAGAAATCCCAGTAGACCGATGCGCCTGTCACTATAATCGTCGGTTGATTGTGCCACAGGAGCCTTGAATTCGAGTTTCCATCCATCAGCAGACGGTTCTGCTAGACTTTTGACCAAGAAAGAGCCATGGCCGTGGACACAATGGTCTCATCCAAGTTGAAAAGCACCAAACACCACGTGGCTGGCCCACAACATCGACATGCACATGCCCACACCTGGCGCAGTGAGCCATAGAACGGTTTTTGATCTGAGCTGATGGAACGACAGATGTGTCGGACAGAAATCACACATCAGCTGACTACGCCCCGTAGACTTGTCTTCTCGCGATTTACTGCAGCCTGTAGTGCAAATAGGTCCACACTTGCAGACGATCCCATCGTCAGTTATGGGTGTTGGGACGTGCAAAGGAACCACTACGCAACTGCTAGCTTTTTCCATTAAAGTGGATGGTTTTTTACCCTGACTTAGAAAACTGCGGTGGTCGGTTGGTGAAGGCGTGTTCGAACGAGTCCACATCAGGCAGATTGATAGTTGTCATTCGCTCTAACCTTACATCGGCCCTTGTTAACATGTTCTTTGTTAACACACGCACACGCACGCACACGTTGACGCGTCATGCGTGGCTGGTGAATTAACAATCTTGTCCACGTCACGTATTCTACAGTGTCATCAGAGAATAAAAATGTAACGTAGCTTGCGCATAACCGCAACCAGTGACACAAAAGCGATGACCACCGTGAAAACGGCAATACCAAACTAGTTCTTGGTAGAATTTGTCTACAAGTAACTTTGCGTCTGTTGACCTAGACCAGTCTTCCGCGCATCTTCTCGTCTTCACGGCGCTGATTGAGAACTGTCATCGGTGTCCACGAGGCCACACATTTATAGGGTGAGTAACCGGTTGTGTCTGCCACTGTCCCCGATCGATTCTGTGGGTTTGGGCTTTAAGGCGTAGCGCAGCAACATGCATCCTCTGCAAAATCTGGCATGGTTTGGGATTTGTCGTTTCGTCCCGCGCGGTGCGCTTTTGAGGGAAAGTTAACTTCTACGGGTTGCAATTAACATCATCGAAGTCTAGAGTCACCTTGTGATGGTTTACACATCAAGTTGGCAGTGGAAGATGATGAGAACACAACGATGGCTAACAGTCAAGAAATCGAACAAAATCCACATTTCCTCAAAATTGTTTATGCGATGAAACTGACAGGTAACAAGCGCTCTCAGTAAAACCGTCGGCCCTTACCTTCGATTTCATACATGTCAATTTCCGATTCTGTATTTCGGGGATCCCATGTTGAGGATTTGAAGAAAAAAAAGAAGCAAGTAAATTAAACATGGCATTTTGACCTAGCTCCACACCTGCTACAAGAGACCTGTTTAAGGCAGGCTCTTTCGAGTTTTAAATTGAGGTGGATTGACACGACAATCGGCTTCGTTTGGCACGACATTACAAGCCCTTTCGCCGAAGTCACTTGGCACTTTACCAGACCAGTCCACTTGTGGCTTTGGTCGATAATCAAACTACCCTTCCACCTCACGCAAGACAAGTGCTGGCAATCCAGACGCATACTCACCTTGCGTAGTTTCATTCACCGCCACGGCAACCACCTCTGGAGTAGGTATTTCATCTGCAAATGAAGGATTTTTTTGCAACTAGTCATTCAAACACACCGCCCATGTGAGTAGTTTGCACCGCATTACTGCTACGTTATCGCGATTTTTGGGTTCTCGTAAGGCCTATCAACTTGGCGTCTTTTAACAACGCTGACAATTGATGCTTTAACAACACGATGTGAGGGTATTCAAGTCATTACTCGAATTGGTAGCTGCCGTTAATTATCAATGATTTTTTTTAAAAATAAGGTCAGTGTTGTCACCTACCTTTCACTTCAACGGCGACAGAAACCGGTTCTGACTTCAGGGGTTCATCTGTTGAGGCAAAAAAAAGCAACGTCTCAGGTTGTGGCATTGACAGTGCACTACAATTTCATTTCACTCTTTACTAGGCACATTTGCCCTCATTCTCGTCTTACACAGTTTCTCATTGCACTTTGAGTAAAACTGACGACTGTAGGCTCAACGCGTTGCTTACCTTCTGCTACCGTTGTCGCCTCCTCCTCAGCTGTTGGCTCAGGTGCAGAGACTTCATCACCTAATGCAAGAGAAAGTCATGACAATCAACCATGGTAGTAACAGCAAATTCGCAACACAACTGCTACCAACGTGGTTCAAAAACCCCCAATCTATTTCATTAACCACGGGTGTTCGAGCTACGATCCAAACGGATGCACTGCCGTCTCCAATCAGCACATCATCGAAAATGACCGACAGTTGATTCAGCCTCAGGGTGGGAACATCCAGGTCAGTGCACACTCCATGCTACAGACCTCAACACAGTCGTGGAGATCTACCTTTACAACCTGCTTCATCACAATCTCCAAGGTTAAGGACTGGCAGTAAATTGTTTGACTAAAGATGCCGCAGTCAACAAGTGCATTTACTTCTCAATTCAACAGCGACAGAAACCGACTCGGCCGCCTGGGGTTCATCTGTCAAAGTAAGAAAAAACGGTTTTTGGGTGCTCCAGTGTTCACTTTCCACAACCTGACTTTACGCGTTGCTACATCTAGCTTCGCTGAAAAGCAGGTTTACACTCACTATCATCTTAAGTAGATTTTCACCCTTGTTTTGAATCAAACCGCCCGCTTTAGGCCACAAGTGTTGCCTACCTTGTGTTACCTCTGGTTCCTTATCTTCCGATCCCGCCTCCAAAGTAGTTACTTCATCTGCTAATTGAAGAAGGCATTGTAACAAATTAATACTTCTACTCAAACACAAAATCTCGTGGGTCATGCATGTTGGGCCTAATTTCAAACTCTTTGAATTTAAACCATCCTTCAATTTTCGCCTACATATCGACGACGCGCTTGTCACCATGCCCCAACTCTACAATTTTAAGCATTTAAATGGTGATCATTATTTTTTAATGCATACAAATTAACAAATTCTCCTACCTTTCGCTGTTGGAGCAACTGTAACCGATTCCACATCCTGGATATCCTCTGTCGGAAGTAAAAATAGAAACAGATAGATAAGGATAGTGATGATAACCTTCGACAGCAAATCTTGTCTCTTAACTTCTCTCTCTGTTTACATCAACACTTATGGAAATCACCCTGTAAATGTGTGATACCGCCTCTCTAAGTGTAGTTTATTGCTCGTTTACAATTTTTTTATTTCTTGCCTATCTCTCCAATTACCTCTCAGACGAATGTGGGCAGGGAACTAATATAGTTTAGCAAACATTTGCCATGTTTATCTTTGATTCATACCATTATTGTTTCTTACTTTATCAATGACTGCTTGTTAAAATCAACCAACGGCCTACCTGTTTTCGAATTTCAACTTTTTGATGAAATAATTTCGTTATAATCTAAAATAGCCTACATTTGGAACGAATTCTGGTAAAATTGCATTTTATGAAAACGTTTGGAGCCGGCGATTACTGCAGGTTCATCGTCAAACAAATACACCCAACCGTGGTACTTTTTGTCACTCAAGCAAGCTGATTTGAAAAGTGCCCGCAAATTTAAAAAAAAAACAAATGATGAGTTAATTAAAAGATGGTTTCAAAGAATGATTAAAGCAACAATACCGAGACACCGAAATCTTCATTACGGAAAACACCAGACTAGACAAAAGCTCAAAATAACCGGTATAGTTACTAAGTTACAGCATAGTCACTAGTGGTTTACCAAACAACAAACAAACTCTGAATCAGTTTTTAAAAAATACGCCAGATGAAAATGAGGCATCATGCAATCATAAGGTTAAAAAGATTATTATATTCTCACATTAAAATGAATAAATAATTAAACGGCTTAAATTAGACACGAGAAGAAATGACTTATTTGTCACCTGAGTTGGTGTATCCGATGTAGCCCAGGAGCAGTACGAGCGACCACCAGAGAATGAGGCGCATGCCGCTAGAGTGCCTGAAAAGTGCTGCGTCAATTCACGGAACAGTGACAAGCCGAAGAAAGCCAATCACATTGCATTGTTTGGACGAGCGTCGTGACGTAGATTTATCGATTTTGCATTTGATTGAGTGTGTCTGGTGACCTTGAGGTGCGCGCACCTTTGCGTGAATGAATGGACGCGGTGATGTTTTCCAATTCTGCGTCGAGGTTTTAATTTTGGCTGTTCGTTGAAAAAATTGCAAAAGTTGTCGAATGGCAGCAACGTTTATCATCTGTAGTAGTTAATTAAATGCTGAATTTCGATAAAAAGATAGCCTCAAGGATGAATCGAGTTGTGTGTTATGGTGGTCAAACCAAATTTCGGAAGATTGCGTAGAGACGGACAGTAAACGATTGGTTGAGTTACCTAAAAGTTAAAACGCTGAAAAACCCTAGTGTATTTCACACCTGATGGTCTATTTTTTTCAAGAGGAATTTGAACTTATCGTGCGTAGATTCTAGACCACTAACTCATATTTCCTTTTGAGAAATTTAAAAGTTGTGCTGTCGTTTAGTCACGTCTTACTTTTCTCGTGAGAATTTAACAAATGTGTTTCGTAATTTGTCAAAAGCGGCATGAATGTCCGTTCAGTTAAACTCAGATTGATGTTACATTCCCATTTCGAAAGCCTTTTTGTTGCATACCGTTGTCCACTTCAATTTAGTAAAAGGTATTAGGAGAATGAATGGAGGACGAGTTGTAGATATTATTAAAACGTGATTTGCTAACTTCCCGTTTTGCTCAAACTTCGGCGCATCCTTTAAAATTTTCTGAAACGTCGTTTCCACTGAAGGTGTGCTCACTGAAGAAGTGGAACCATGAGATCTCCACCATCGTTTCTCAACAAAGACGGACCGTAAACAGTCTGTCTCGCTGCCTCTCTGTGTCTATTTGATCGGTTAGAGGGGAAATGAACAACAGACTCCTGCGCAGTATAAACATTTGTGAAATTGTAAAACTAGCTTATTTCTAGACCAACTGAATGTAATTGGAAGGTGTGTCAAATCATTCCCGATTTAGCCTGGCTCGAAATTGAGTGGTGCATTTTTACCAAGGTCACTTAAACGCAGAATCGAACCTTCAGCTATGAAGGCCATAAAATGGTAGTTAATATAAGTCACAATTTACTAATGTCAATTCAGTTTATGCAGAATCGATCGAAGGTATCCAGTTGCCATGCTTGTGGATTCGTCCAGGTGATTTAATTTAAAAAAATATGCATTTAATAAAGTAATCGGATATGTTTGCATTCCTGTCTTTTGCACCACTGATAAAACGCCAGTTCGTCTAATCATTTGCGTAAAGAAAACATTGCTTTACATCCGAAAAAAACAGCAAACGATTTGAATTTGAGTGATAATTCTTAGCTAAATTTATAAAAACTGTCTTAGTTGTATTGAGATCCAAGCTAGCTGAAGGAATTCGCGTGAAACCTGGCTCCAGATGTGCGCAGATTGCTAATTGTCTTACTACAGAGAAGGGTAATTTACTACCTACGTACTTCAGTTAATGACTTGAGGTATCAATAGACACGGGATACATGTCTAATAGCAACCAAATTCGAATACCGATTTCTTAATATTGAAAATTCCGGCGCCATTAAAATAGCCACTGCATGGCCCAGATGCTGCTGTTGATTGCTTGAATTACCAACGGCTTTTGAGTCGGTTCGAGAATTGTGGAAAGCAGTAAGTACGCACTTGATCGTCTTGTAGGCGGAGATGCACCTCCTGGGATCAGTACGGACTCGTCAGAATCACGGCTCACATTCATAAAGGTGAAACACTGACGCTGATTCAAAGCGCTGAACACGAAGTGGAAACAGGCTCAACGATGCCTTCTGTTGAATGGCCAGACTGTTCTTCCACTAGTCCGTCCGTCACCATAACAACTACGCTGAACCGAATACGGGGGCGAATGCTCAGGAAATTGGCGGTGGGGCTGGTTAGACAGCAGCATTGGGGTTTTTATGGAAGAACTGCTAATTCCCTTGGCATTTTCTACAGGGAAGCTTCAATAAACCCTACTAGGGTGTTCTGAAAGAAGACGGGGACCAATTATCTGGTTAGATTTCGGTTTAAGGAGATGAGAAATATATGTATATATATATATATATGAATGAAGGAACTGTAACTTATACAAGACGGCTAACCAGGACCAGTTTTGACGTCTCTCGCGAGGAGTCAAAGACACGACCTCGATGAATATGTGAGAGGGATCGGATCTCCAAGTTACGGAAAGTGCAGTGTTTTGGGAAACTGTCCCTTCGTGATATTCTCTGTTAGATGCAGTAAATGCATGAAAAGTAAACTCTTTATGCACGATTTTTTGATGATTTTAAAATCTGTGACAGTTGTACGCAAAAATAAGGATTTTGCAACTCCTTTGGTTCCCTTTCAAAGACCCTCAAGTCTGCTTTGGAAATGTGTCCAAGTTTTAGAATTTCTTCGGCAGTTGTGTGTCTCGTGCAGGTTAGCACACCAAACTCTACTGTTTTAGACACCATTCTCCATCTTAGAGCTTCGGCCTTATATTTTTGTTTTTTTTGTTTTAATAATCATTACTCAAACATGAAATGAGTTTACGATATGAGAAAGGCGACATAAATGACTCATGAACACGGCTTGGCGATTTGACGCGCGTGTTTCTACATTTAAAGAAAAGCCGTTTTAAGGATGATCGGGGGATTCGCTACAAAGAGGACTAGAAGTTGGACGTGAAAATTCAATAATCGATTGGATGTGTTGTTGGAAAAAATGGCGTTAGTCTAGACATGCGGGTAAGCCGCGTGACAAAAGGGAACGCGAGCATCACCAGTGCGTGGAGGCGATCGTGGCTGTCACCACCGCATCATTCAGGGGACCAGTGCACACCCTGGTCTACCAGTCTAGACATAAACAGGACCATCGTGTCTTCTATGGCCTATTTATCAAGTATCGAAGTCGCCACCTAACAATCCGGCTGGTTAAAAGGACGTAACAACCGGCGAACAGAGAGAAACGACAGCGGACACTACTGTTTATTTGCGTCGTTCTAGCCAAGCACGTACGTGGATGCGTGCGCGTGCGTGGCGAGCAAGTGGTTCCAGTGTCCAATGAAAATCGTGGATGAGTCATTGAAAGCGTTATTTCTGTATGTAAGCTTCACTCACTCGTGATCGGTGGCAGTCAGCTACATCCACATAGTTGTCTATGGGCTTATCAATTCAGTGGACGGAGGAGTCTGTAGAATTTGTGCATGGCGCCCAAACAAGCTGCCAATATTGTTTTAATCAGGCACAGAATTTTAGTAATAAGTTTGTGCAAAGTCGGTTGTGTGCAAAAAGGAATCGTTGCAAAATTCACTTGTGATTCACCATCAAATTGACACACAGGTTAAATAGCACTCGAAATGCGACGCCGAAGTCATCACAAGACGCAATAGGAAACAAATCAATTGAATCAATTTTACACAATTGGTTGTCTTGAGTATAAATTCTGTTTTATTCACGATTTACTACCACTTGTAGACCATTGCAACTTTTCGTAATGTAGCTTATGTCTGATTTGACTGACTGAAATATAAAGCCTACTTAAATCCCAGGGTGATGAAAATCACCTATTTTTTCTTTATGTTATGCCAAAAAAATTTTATTGTCACTTTGTTGATATGAAGTAAGTCTTAGTTAATAACATCAAAAGGTCACTTTTTAAAAAAATTGCGTTTAAATTTCAATCGACATGCCGTGTCAAGACCATTTTGACTGTCTGAATATATTCACCCATAGACTTCTGAATGTTAATCTACTTTAATACCATATTATACAAAACCACTAAAAAATATTGATTCACCCGTAGTCAGGCTGCACCTGATTTGCTTGTTTTAGTGATTGCGACTAACAGGGCTTCGCGGAAAATCCTACAAGGGAAATCAACCAATCATTGCAATCCAAACCCCGTTCATAAATATTTTGTATCGGCGTTAATTAAGAATAATTTTAAACGATTTCGGGCCGCCAAAATCTGGATACCCATGAAAATAAATCCAAGCAAATGACAAACGCATATATGTTGGTAATGCCAGAAGTCAATTCCATGTTCAGTCAATGCCATTGGCTAAAATATTTTTATAACATCCGACCATTCAAAAAAGGCAAACCTAATTGCCCTCTTTTTTCTAAACCTTTCGTCCTTCAAAGACTTTTGAATCTTGTAAAAATATTGTATGACATATAAGCCTCCTTCAATTCGTCACATGCTTAATCAGCAAAAATCAACCAAATTTTAGCATAAGGTTTGCTTTTATTTTAAAAGATGATAAAACAGAGGGTTTTACCACAAAAAGAAATTAATTTTAATGCACACCTCTATCCAAAAATGGATCAACTAAAGAACTTAGCGAAAAATTCCCTCCTTCTATGATCTAAGTAGTTGAAACACCATACAAAATGGAACCAGGGCCATTTTTAAAATGCTTAAGTCGGCAGACAATTGATTTTATATGTAGGTGGATAGCCTCAATAAACTTGAATGGGCAAAAAAATATTAGCAAAAATTAGATTTCAAACTCAGTCATCAATTTATTACAGGTTATCAGTCCTGTATTAAATTGTTAATTAGCAAGATCGCTGTTGTTATATTCCTAAAGAGTGCTACTTGAAGTACAAGCAATAGCGTAATTTTATATTTAAATACATTTACATTACATTTAAATAAAAGACAATGCATCGCTTCTAAATGAATGCAACCGGGGCCGTTATAAACTTTGTTAAGTAATAAAATGGAAAAAAAGAAAAACCAAAATAAAATCTGAATAAAAACGGTCTTGAATTTCTTTTAAGCGAATAAGAGAGAAATACCTAGAAATCAGCATGGCGTCCATGTTTGTTTTACTGCCTTGGGTTTTCGGACTTTCGCTTCCTATCGTTCTGTTTACAATGAAGCGCGATTCCAGAGATTATGAATCGGAAGGTCCTCCTAAGAAGATGCAGAGGGCTAATTTGTCAAATATATCCGTGCGGTTCCTGATCCCAGCGCGTGCCGCCGGCCTGATTATTGGGAAGGGGGGTGAAAACATTAAGAAGATTCGTTCACAGGTGACTGGTGTCCAACTTTTTAGACCCTGTTGATTTTCCGGTGTATTGCGTAACTACTGGATCTAACATGTCTCATATTTTCGTTTCTTTTACGCTCCCACGTTATCCATGACGCCACGACCTCGCATTTCCTTGAAAACACGCAAATTTCTGGCTCGAACTCCACGTCTAATGAACATGTTTTCGTTTACCCATGGTTTGCATTTTACGTGACAAAATATGTCATCAAAATCGTGGGTGACTTCGACTCTGCGGTTTTTTTCACTGTTTCCAGTACTCAGTGAAACTGAATATCCCCGACACGAGAGGCACAGAACGGTAGGACGTGGACTGGATGTCATTTATTTTTACGTTTTCCTATCTTTTTGCATTGTGCTGACTGTGTTCACGTTAGGTCCTTTGTGAAAGCGGCTGCCTAACTGACCAAAATATGTCACTAAAAGCATTTGGTGAATGCTTGTTAGTTTCCAATGTGTCCGTAATGCATGCTCTCAGTACAAGCGATGTCGGACGTTCGTCGTCCTTGTCTGGTCTAACTTTTTGGACGAAATGTGTATCTATTCGGCAGCTGCGGCAATAGGTGTCAACTTCTTTTAGTTATATCTAACAAATCGTTCCTTCCTGGATTGTTTAGCGTCTTCGCTATTGAGGGAGCCCTATCAGACATTTGCAATGTGTGGCGCGAAATTATGCCCAAGTTGAAGGTAAGCGTCTTCCACTATAATCCTGGATTCCTAGGACGTGATGAGCGCCAGACTCTCTGACCCCAAGGTGATCATGGGTCAAGGACGTCTGCCAAGGCGGAAACGTGTTCAGGATGGGGATGGGGAAAAGAATGAAGGCGACCAGCCAGAGGAAGAGGAAGATGACAAAATGATTGATTTGCGGCTTCTTGTTCACCAGAGTATAGCGGGGTGCATAATCGGGAAGGGTGGTGATCGAATTCGCGAGCTGCGACAGGTAAATTGGCTTGCAAGTGCCGTAACGCTTTCCCGATAGAAACACAAAATGCGGGTGATCAAAGTGTATCAAATGTTCGCTCCCGGTTCTACAGATCGTGTTGTGCAGCTGATTGCAGAGCCAGAAAACGCGATACAGTGTATGGAAGCGATCGTCGAGGTTGCTGAGGTGTGTTTTACTAATTTGTATAGAATTCGTGTCTGTCCAACTTTATTCGGCGCTTGCAAGATTCCTAAGAGCTATTCATTTGATTTGTAATATGTTTGCCTAGTCCTATTTGTTTATCGCGCCTTCCTGCTGAAAGGCATAACAGTCCTTAATCCTTTTCAAAGGTTACAACCATTCGAGGCCCCACTGAGCTCTATGACGCTACCAACTGCTGCGAAGCTGATGCGCTCACTTATGGCGGATGGCTTTCACCTGAGGGGCTCCAAGCTCTATCACAAGGCATGCCTCTCAATGGCGGAGCGCCACCATCCATGGGTGGACGTTATGGACCTCCTCGCGGCGGGCTTCCGCCTCCAATGTACCCGGGTCGCCAACGCGGTGGACCTCCGATGTACCAGCCGCCTCGTGGTGGGCCACCAAGGCAGCCACAGCAGCAGTGGGGCTACGATGGAGGCTACCCAGAGGGCGGGTATGTCGCTTACCCTCAGCAGCCGCCCGTAACTGGCACCTATGATGTCAGCCAATACGCCCAGCCGCCACAGACCGCTTATAACGCACCACCGCCCAACACTGGGTAAGCCTCATTTATTTTTTCGCACTCGTACTGATGTAATACTTTATTGTTCTCGCTGCTTTTCTTGTTAGCTTTTCATCAAAGGTTGACTCTGACAGTGCTTGAGTATTTCACTAGGGAATAACTCAATGTTTAACCTCGCGTAAATTAAGATGGCAAAGTTGCTTTCCGTGTATCCGGAGGGCGGTGAGGCAATTTCGTTAGTTGGTTGTAGTTCCATCATTTGGTTTACATTGATTTATCTGCTTGTAGTGTGCCGCCGTACAGACCCGTTGCCCCCACAGCGGTTGCTCCACCAACCGCTGGTGCGCCCATCTACGGAGCACCCCCGCCCCCAGTCACCACCGGAGGTTATGCGTTCCCACCGATGACTGGAGCGCCTGCCCCGAACTATCCACCAAGTGGGTCCGGATGGTAATTTGGGGAGTAAATTTGTATTTTACTGTGTGTCTTATCGTCTGCCTGTAATAATAAATACAACTTCACCACACACACACACCAATACTGTTAAGGGTTGTGCGTACGTGATGTTACGTTGGTTTCCATTGGTTATGCCCTCTTGTCGTCTATGCATTTCCCTGGAGGCTGTGTGTCCAATAGTTATTGCAAGGGCCTTTGGTTCTACGCCAGGTTTCTTTGGTAGTTGTGGTGGTCCATAAGTGATAAGCTGTGCTGTTGGGTCCACATTTTGGGGGGTTGGGGGTTCAGACCGCCGGTATGATGCTAGTTGTTCATCCTATTGTTTAGTCCGCGTCGTGGGTTTGCGTCTACCGAGCACTAGCTGCCTTAGTCCGACGTGGCCCATGGGGGAAGTTGACCATTAAACTTCCTGGGCATGTGTACCTGGGGTAGCGTTGGGTGGTGTTACGCTGTCTGCATGTTGTTGCGACCACGGGTTTGGGAGGCGTGCACGCCCTTGCTCGCGTGGGCAGTTGAGCTCTGCTCAATCGATGTGCCAGCTGGTGCTTTCAGATACGCGAATGCCAGGGGTCGATCGCACTTGAACCTCCGCGGGGCGAGTAACATAACTTGGTCCCGGTGCGGGTGTGATGTTAGCAGGACGTTAATCGCGGGCTTTAGTGTACGTAAATTGAACCCTCCAATGTAGAATCACATTTTACTAACTGAGTGCAGGTTTCTGCTCACCACTGTTCTGCACCCAAGTTTGTTGTTGTGTCAAGTACATATTTTGGGAAAAAATGCTAAAAACGTTTTGTTGGGGTAGAGTTTATTGCAATCCTGAGTTCCTGCCATGGAATCCAGATCACTTGCGTCGATAGCAATTGAATTGCCGGATTAATAGTGAGATACGCTCCTGAAAGTTGGAGACAATTTGGCATTTGTGCGCATTTTCTTGCCTCGAACGATCTTACACTAAGTGGACATAGTGTATGCACTCACATGAAGCTGCCTGCATTTCTGCCAGTAGGGGTGTTACTGTGTAACACGAATTTCAATTTAGCATGCACATCGCGTACCGCTTAACTGTCTATGGACACGCTATATCGACATACCATGGCCCAGAACTATCTCTGCCTGCCCCTTCCGGCCTCCAACACACTGCTCAAACTATCCAGCTTTCATTATTATCTGGGTTTTCCAATATCGTGTATTAATTTTAGCATGCAAAACTAGTCTGATTACACGTTGGCCGTTTGCGCAGTCCTTCCCAGCCTATCTGATGATTTTTGGAACTAGAATAAATCTACAAGTAAGGGGAGCCACTGCTGCCTTAAAGCGCTCGCTATCTGGATCGTCACTTCACTTTTCTGCGTGGTTGATCGTGTGACGTGACCGCCGATAGCCGTTGCTTTCGTGTGTCGAACGTAATTCTATATAAATTAAACGCTTAGTGTTGCTGAACACGCTCTATCGACATACCACGGATCAGGGCTATCTCTGCCTGCCCCTTCCGGCCTCCGACACACGGCTCAAACTATCCAGCTTTCATTATTATCTGGGTTTTGCAATGTCGTGTATCAGGTGGAGCCTCGGACACACATTGATGTTCTTTTCCAGCATTGAAGAGATTACAGTTTACTCATCAACCCGTCAATGTGAGTTTCCGGCGCTATTAAACTCGGAACTTCTAGGCCGCATCATCATACCCGCATGTTTGAGATTAACGAACGCAATGAGGAAAGAGATTCGCAGATGCTCAAGACCACGATCCATCAATCGACCTCGTCATTTCTTGGATATGACTAACCAAATCTACTCGACGGTAGTTCTAAAAGACTAATCTTGAGGGACCAGTGACCTTCACAGCTCCAAAGGGGGCTCTCGCTAAGACCCTCTGGTCTCACCAATCGATGAGTCTTGCTTAGCAGCTGACCCAGTCTTACAGCAAGCCGTCAACGCAACAGAGAAGTCACTATCATACTTGGCACCCAAGTTTCTGAACCTCAAACTGTTGTATCACCGTGAATCGAGAACTTTTGGCATTCTAACTTGCAGCCAAACCTCTCAGGTATCACCTTGACAGTCAACGATCTACATCGATTACAAACGTTCGAATTTCGGTTAATTCTTGCCAAGAGATTACGTTCTGTAGTGATCTTTCATCTTTCGTCGCATCAAGGGTGCAGAAATTACACATCGATTCCGTAAACAATCGGACTTAGATCTGCACAAATTATGGAAACGCAAGACAGCTTTAAAGCTATTCGCACACCTTAAACCTTCCCGTGTCAATGCGCTGCCAAGCATTCCAAGCTCCTCACGGTCTAGCCCCTTCTGTCAACCTGGAACAAAAAACATTGACAACAAAATGCTGTCGAAATATTCAACAGTGGACAAACAGAGTGAGGCCATCCTTGGGCGATTTTACGTTCTAGGTGCAAAGTTTGATCATTCGCAAGTCGGTATTGCAGGACTCATGCCACGATCTAGGCTTTTCCCGCTTCATTCGACAGCAAAAAAATTTATTTTTCGATGCTAGACATCTCAAACAAAACTGTGGTGTAAGCAGATGAGGGGCTTTATTTGGAGTCATTTCCTCTATCACTGCAGATCGTGCAACACAGTTTAAATGCAGACTTTTTCCGAAGTCTCAGATAGCTCCAAGGAACGAACTGCATTCCCCAAACAAAGAGCATTATTAGACTGTTGCTCCGACAAATGAAGGCTGGACTAACATTCCAACGTAGTCTACCTCAATAGGCTCAGAATTAGGCTATTTATCAGCAGAAATGGTTTTCGGAACAACATTTAGGCTATCTGGAAAATTTTTTGTCATATCCAACCGTCATGGAAAGCAATAAGCAAATCAAAATCCACTGAACCTCATTCAGATTCGGCGATTTTCAATGCCACAGAGGCGTTATCCTTCTTCAATCGCATATTTTCCCACAGGATGCAACACGTGAGCAAAATTTTTAACACCAACGCTTACGTTGACTATAAATCAACTTCTAAAAACCTACAGCCTAACTTATAATTATCCGATTGAAGGATAAGGCTAGTTAATTGCCTTATTCAAAAGGAGGACTGTACTGACTACTGTTAATTCACTTTCATGGAGCCGGTTGTCGCCTACACGAACTCATTGTCCTTACTTTCCCTAGTATTAATTATAATTATTAATAGTGATGGGACACGCACAACTTAAATGGGATAACGGTAGAGTTTCTCTCCCAAGCCTGTCTGTCATCTTTCTTGGGTACATTGTGCTGTTTTCTAATACAGCAATTTATTTCTAATGGATAGAATGCGAAGAGAAGCAAGAAGACAAATCGTACATTAGGAAAAATGTTAAACTGATGCAAAGAAGCATATATTCCAAGATAAATAGCAAAGATGATTACTTAAGAGTCTGTAGTTTTCAAGCACTACATTCTGAAACTAAAATCTAAAACAGTGGCTAATCGAACGTATTAGTAGGCAACTTTTAAACCAACACGGTGCCATTTTTAAGTGCAATCATTGTCGAAGTTCCAAGATGGTCACCGTTCGAGATGTTTGAATCGTGGTCAACAATTGAGCCTGAGGTGAGCACGAATATTCGTAGCTGGTCGGGGAAGATTACCAATGGTATCTAACGCAGACTCTGAGAGTATTCGGTTCGCACTGGCAACATGATTTAATAGATCCATTCGTGAATTCCACCAATGTTGTGCATGAATCGGCGATTAATTGTATCGTTTTTAAAACTATGACAACAGTGAAATATGCACTTTTAATTCGTGCATAATTTATTATTTGCAGATTTTCACAATTCACCGCGTCAAGTAACAAATGTATTTTCCATTCTATTAATTTATATATCAATGAATTTGGTATTTATGGTTAGCATTTAGTTGAAAGTCTAAATTGTATTACTAAATATTTTTCTCCAAATATTTGAAATCTGTGTCAACTCGGGTGGATATTGCAATACAGAGCACAAATCGCTGAGCTTTTAGAGCGAGGAAAATTATCCAAGCTTAAATATATGCTTATAATTGCCCTAAACTTGTCATAATGCCATTACCTCTTAGCTAAAATTCGGTAATAGAACTGGCAAATTGTTTTAATTCATGAGATTACTCAGAACATCAAAGCTTACAACAGCGGGATTTGCGCTTGGGAACCAAACGCGCCTCTTTCAAGACTGCCTTTTGGTTCAGATGTCAAACCTTCATGAGTTAGCGGTCGACTTAGGTGGTGAATTTACGTCTAAATTTTGCTTCATTTGCAATATATGGCTGTGTCTATGTACAACACTACTGAGAAAAACGCTTAAAGCAGCATTTATCGCTATTCGTGTTAAATCGGTTGCGAAGTTCCTATTCAGTCACATTGAAGTGTCGGTTTTGTGTATATAAATACACACACAAAAATGATTTTTTTGAATTCTAATATCGCCTTAAGCATGTACTGTCAATTCCTGAATCTTAGTCCCTCGGTCAGCGCTTTGCTTCCATACGCCTAAGCCTCGCGCTGTTTTAAATTTTTCCCATTCGTTCAAACTCCGTTTCAATATTCATGTTCTCCCTAGGTATTGAAGTTGACAAGTTTGCAAATCGAATTGAAGAAGAAAGACGGAAAATCTGTGGTATGTTCCCGCAGTGGTGTTTTTTCCCTTATGGTGGTTTTTATTTATACATTTACTTAGCTTACTTTTGCCTACGACGATGCTTGTGTAAGGATATTCCCACCCAAATAATCTTAGAATCACATTTTATTAGTTTTTACTAGAATTGTACCTGTTTTCCTGTCGTAGAACCGGTCTATTTTCAAATCCAACGCGTAGATTCCAATTGGCTTGTTGTAAACCTCTCTGCGCTGTTCTTAACTCAATATAGGTGCTTGTAAACTACGCCGCGGATAAACACACTTCCTTCTTCTCTGTGGATGTTTAATGTTCTTTTACTACGTAAAGGTCATTTTACTCTAAACACCAATGCCCACCATTGAGAGTGCCATCTTAACTTTAGTTAATGTTCTCGTTTTAGAAGCAAAAGCTCGTTTCGATAGCCAACTCAAGCAGCGGTTGCAGCAGGAAGAGGAGTCCACCAAATTGGAGGCTGATCTCGAACGCATCTTGGGCGTTTGCTTCGTCCAGTGCAACGGACAACAACCCGGTGATCTCGCCTCCTTTAATCCGTATTTAACGAAGACATTGGGGGAGGTTCGGGTTGCTGCTCAGCGTATTAGGTACGTGCCTTGTGGCCACTTTGACCCTGGTGTCGTCGTTTTCAAGGTGCCTGCTATCGCACACGTATTTGCTCCTTCAAACAAAGTTGTTGTTTACCCGCCTAAATGTCTGATGTGTGTTTAGAAATGTGTGTGTGTGTGTGTGTGTGAACTTGCTAACCACGCCCTACATTTCTGTTCACATGTTGCGCGCTTTAGAGATGAACGGATGGAAATTTTAACCCAGTACAAAGCCAAACTAGACCAGTTTGAGGTGCTCTACCAGAGAAATATGATGCTGGAGCTATTTATTGAGTCCTGGCGCAAGAATCTGGGCGAAGGCAAGACAATTTCTGGTAAGTCTTTGCCTCCTTTCCAACAACCTTTCTCAATTTGCCAGTGTAGTGGCAGGCTACTTTTGCCTCGTTGTTGTTTAAATGCTTGAAATCATTTGTTGCCTTCTCTGAGAGATTGACTCACATCCCTCGCAGGCCCCTTTCATTGTTGCCATTGACAACGGAGCGCGTGGTTAGTTACGTGGGCGTTCCAAAATGCGGACGCTTTGGGCAGTAGAGTGCGCTTGGCCCCTTTGTGAGGTCGTTTTCTGATCCAACTGTGGCGTAACCGTGCAGATAAGGATCCAGAAATGAAGTTTCTATGTCAATTGCGAAGTTGTTGTTTCTGTGTTTCTGTGACAGCCAACTAAATCACTTACCCCCCACAATGCCCAGACTTACATCGCCAGTCTTACAATTGCCCGTATATATTACTACCAGGTTGTATCAGTAGACTTGGCGATGCCTCGGAATCTCTGTGCATTAATGTCGATCCGAGAACTGGTGTTGTAATATTCTCGTTCTTTTGTATCTTTCAGAGATTCCCCAACTCGTCAAAAATTTGTAAGTTGGCCTTTTCTTCTGCGCTCTAAATACTTAATTGGTTAGGTCTGAGGCTGTTGCCGAGTTTTACGACGTTCCGGCTCACAAGCTGCTCGAACAGGCGTTGCAAGAGGTAAGTGTGGGCATGATTGCTTTGATTTAAGGTAAATCCCACGTTTTCGCCAATCATGGCTACTTACATTCCGTAAGTAGAACGTTTGTTTCACTTTTTAATCTAGCGAACTCTGCCTCGACAAGCCACTTCTCCCAAAGCCTCGGTCACCGAGTCAGCACCGATGGTGACCGACGAGACTATTTGCAACGTCACCGAGATACCGCTGTCCGCCGAGACACCCATCTGTCGTCCCCGGGGTGACGCGGAGCCCTCGATTTTGTGCGGGTCGAAGGTGATTGCCAATCCTGAGTTTAGTCGACTCGAGTTTGATGCCACAATGACGGATTTTGAGGTGGAACAGGGCATCTACTCGGATGAGGCTCTCCGCAGACTGATAAATTCCAAGAACACTGCCATAGTTGATCAAGATCAGACCCTTTAAATGTTTTTTACACACACCTTTTGCTCACATTAGTTTGCATTGTTTGTTATTTAGAATGCAATTCTCTTTTGTATCTCGTCTGAACTAAAGTCGAGTGGTGCAGCTGCTGGATGGTTATCAATGCGTGTAAGATTGGCAAACGAGGGACAGTAGGTTTAACAAAACAAGTGCGCTGGCAGTGCCCTATTTGCGCACTTGCATTGATTATACGCAGCCTGTGCACGGGAGAGTAGACAGAGCGGACCTGATGGTGCGATGTGGGGTAGATGTAGCTCTGTCGGCTCTTGTCGCAGTCGGCGAAGCGTCAGACAGTCATGATGTCCACGGACACAGGCATTCTAAGGGTGATGGGGTGGGACGCAGTGCGTCGGTGGAGGATGAAAGATGCAGGAGGCCGATTGGTGAAGGGGCTCGGAAGAAGAGAGCTGACGCTAAGGCGCCTAGTTCAAACTTTGGAGAAATAGCTCGCAGCGGTTGAAAAAAGTGGGTGAATTTCGACAAATAAAACAGTTCAACAGAAAGGCATGGAAACTGACGCCTCGAAGGTAGGAAAATTTCCTCATGTAGGTGGAGGGACAGACAAAATAATACAATTACAAAAGCGCAAATACAAATTAGAATCGACTATTGAACACCACTAAATATTAAAAAGAAAACGAAATAGACAAAATCAAAAAAATTCACACAAACAGAAAAGTCAAAGCACGAAAAGTACCTACGGGCATTCCACTAAAAAGAATAATGCTGCAGAGAGGCGAAAATCGGGTCTAAAGGCATTGTTGGTAGAATGCGTGTCTGGTAAGTAACTGGTGGTGGTGGTGGTGGTGGTGGTATTTGGCAAGGCTGAGAGTGGCAGCAGCAGCAGGACGTGTATGTGTTTGTGTGTGTGTGTGTGTGAGTGTTGGTGGAGAAATGGTGATTGGGGAGTGAACGGCACGACACGGCGCGATGGCTCGACC